ACAGGTTTCAGATTTGCATAAGGCCAACGTCTTGGCATTCTAGGAAGTTAGGTATTGGAATCCGATGGAAGTCAATTAATTTTAAATTTTAATATTTAAAACTAAATTATTGTTGATGGATAATAAGATTTGCCTTTCAGTTTGTTAAAATGAAATCATCAACTTAAGCTGTTTTGCAATTTTTTTGGCCGTTAAACCCAAGTTAATGACTTGAAGTGCCTCTAACTCTTGTAGAGAGAGGGGGCTTACGTCAACACAAAAAGATGCAAATCACTGTGAATTTTCCCAACTTTAAAAAGTTGATAGATTAGCTGCCTTTGAGCCTAAAATAGAAATACAAATACAAAAGTAAACTTGCTTATTGCATAATTAGCTTATAATCTCAAAAATAAAGTTCAAGACCAAGGGTGAAAGTTGATTGAGACGTGTTTTTAGTAAAATTTGTCAAGGACTGTTTGCAACTTTGTTTCAATTTGTCGATGAGGCCGAACATGACAGTGCTACCTTGACAATAACAAGTGTTGGGGTTCACTTGAATTGATGACAAACTGACATGTGCATTATATATATATATATATATATATATATATATTAGTGTGGGCGAGATAAAACAGGTCACCTGTGTTCTGTTTCATTGTGAATTTTAAATAAAAAGATAATAACAATTTTCGTGTTTTCATATTAATAATGGATCTACGATAGTAACTGAATACGGCGCTTGCAAAAGAATGTAGGATTATTATTATTATAATAAAAAAACTCTAACAGCTACTGAGAGGAAAAACAAAACAGTGGTCCTACAATGGATTCCTGGTCACTGTGGCATTAAAGGCAATGAGCTTGCTGACAACAATTTTGCAAGGCACAGACCGGTCGATGTCTTTCCACACAACGAAGATCTTAATCAGGAGAGAATTCAATACCACAAAGCGCAACGAACTTAAAGCTCGAAAAAAGGAGAAGCAGTGAACAGTGGCACTCTCCGACATAGCCGACTGGCCAAGAATCGAAGCCGTTGCTGAGTGTAGACTACGTACCGGACACGATTGCCTGGCAAAACACCTTCACAGATTGGGAGTATGCACTCAACCCACATCCCCCCTATGTAATCTACAGGAGGAAATGGAGAAGATTCACCTGATTCGATGTCCAGCCCTAAAGACAATGACGGAAAGCCAGAGATACTGGGAAGCAAGAAGACAGCTAATGAACTGCTGTATATGTACCCCTCATCCGTGGGGAAAGCTGAAGTCAGAATTTAAGGGCTAATGATAAATATCATAAAGCCTGCAATTTGAAATAATAATAATTATTATTATCATTTAAATCCGTTTTTTACCGTGTTATTTTTGTGGGGGGGGGGTGGGCTTGTATAAAATGCATTAAAAGTATTTGACATGCATAAATAGTTAGTACTTGTGCGAGATATGAAACGTGTGCTGAAGAACACGAGGAAGAAGTGCAATCAAATCACGTCTTTAGACTGCCAAAATTGCCTACGTCTGGTAGAACAGCACATAGGAGCAAGATTATTGAAAAATTGAATAGAAGTAATTGTCGCCAACACACGTAACCCCTAAAGCGAGTAAACTGACCCTTCGTCGGTTAGAAATGGAAAACAATAACGTCGCGTTCATTCTGCAAGCGGACGATTACAACATGACATTGGGAAACGGAAGAATGCCATCATATTATTTCACATTTAACCTCTGAAACCACCAGTGGGTATTAGAGAAAAAACATGTGATTTAGCAAAAAAAAACAAGATTAGTGAAACAAAAATAGTCGTATAGAAGCACAGAAATACAGAAGATGCAGGTCATATCTCACCAAAACCCATTCAGAATGGCCTATCACTTAATGGTCCGTGGATGGAAAAGCAATCATGTTTTGGTAAAAGACTTACATGTATTGTTGGCCGATGACAGAGTTGCATTCGGTGGAGTAGGAACGACAGGCGGTTTGCCATTGTTAAAACTGTTGCTGCTACAACTACTCGAATCATCTCCTCTCAGTAGAGTCGAAGTCGAACACGATGGAAAATCTCCACTGTTGGAAAGTGTTGAGAGTTGACCTTTGCTTTTGGATGGAGACAATTGAGTCCCATTTTCCAAACGACAGATTTGAACTGGACCTTGAACGACTTGACGAGACAAATCAGGTCCACTCCCGTCTGGTAGAGAAGGAGCCACAACCACCTGGAATCAAAATAGATTATGGTCATTATGGATTGTTAGTAAGTGGTAGACAACGAGATCAAATCTTATTGGTGTTTGAAAAGGAGAAGAATTGGCCATCTATATTAAAACTTACAGACGTACGTACAGTCTGTCTCCCTTGCAACTGTGAATCACTCTTCTGTCCCCTCCCCCCCCCCCCCCCCCAACCTCCCCGTGAAGCCGGAAGTAAGCTAAAGGACTAATGGATGAAAATCATAAAGCCTGTCATTTGATATAGATAAATAATCGATAATAAAACCCATAAAACTACTATGGAACTAAATAGTTAAATAGTGCACCCGAGAAATATGAATTGATGTTCAGAAGTAACCATTCAAGTAATGGAAAGTGTTTTCCAAATGATAACTGGACGAGATTGTGAGTATTTCAAACTTACCCGGTAAAGCTGACAGTGAAATTGAATAAATTTAACCATAAGTCAGATAAATTTCTTTTCATTTAAACTTGGAACACTTCGCCTCCTTTTTGCAACAAAAGGCCATATTTATTAACCAGAACATCGGTAAATTCTAGTTCGTTTTCAAATAAATCGTACTAATTTCCATGTGTTTAGATGGAATGCAAAAAATGTAGGAGATCTTATCCCTTTTTATATTAAATTAAATATATTTAATTTATCATTAGGGAGAGCACCACGCTAAAATGATTGAACTCGGGTAATTCACGCAATCTGGAACGTGTAGCCGTGTTACTGATCTCATTAAGGTGCCCAGTTAGTCACAGACCAAGCTATGCACAAATAGAAAGTCCTCTTCTCTAATACATATTCTCGGGCAAGAAAATGTGCGGACAGATTTACCCCTGTAAATGTCTCTATTAAACAGTAAACAAGATCATTCTGTCTGAATATAACATCTGGGAAGTGGGGTGTGGGATAGACTTACCTCCATGTGGTGCATCCTGGGCAACGTATACTCATACGGTAAAGAAGTCTATTAACCGGCAGTTGACTTCTCACTTCAAACTACCATGACCCCACTATATGTCATATTCCACCACTTCTACAGTACTCACCTCACCTTTTTTCTACCTTTGTGTTTGTCTCTTTTACTTCTTTGAAGCACCCTTCGGTCTCTTTAAGATCTGTGAATCACTCTCCTGTTCCCCCCCCCTCTCGATTTTTTTTCACTTTGATGTTCCTCCCCCTCTGTGAAGCCTGAAGTCAACTAAAGGGCTAATGATAACTATCAAAACGCCTGCCATTTGACATAAATAAATACATCTGGGAAATCGGTCGGCACGATATCACAAATATAAACTTGAAACAAGTGATTTATCAACGCATGTTGTTAAGGTAAGTTTTTTTGACAATTCAGTATGGTTACTATCATGGAAACTACCTGATAAGAAGTGCGATTATCAGCGCTAGTGCCGGATTTCAATCTTCAGCTGACCTCCTGAGCAAGGTAGCCACTGTGCTAACCGCACACCTCAAAATATTATTGACAGCGATACACACACGTGATCGTACAGTTCGACTTACCTTGACTAAAAGCACTAATATATTACGTACTAAGTAGCGTAACATTCTACTGAAAAAAAGGTGTTCTGGGCATACAGCCAAGCATATATTTGTAAGAAATTTTGTTCTGTAATGGTGTAAAGACCTCGTACTTTGCAAAAAAGTTGGCCGTATCGGCATATAGCATGACATTCTAAATGCCCGCTGTTTTTGGCATTCTGGTATATCATTTAGTCACCACGACTGCATATTATGAAACCAACAAATTTTAATAAATAATTAATTAATGTAGTGAATTTCGGTCACACAATAAAAGCACTTAAAATGTTTGAAACACTTTAGGGCTATATATTTAAATGTAACCTTATATATAAATAAAATTAATTTAATAAATCAATTATAGCGGTTAACTGTTTTGAGCAAACTTCAATTGGAGGCAATTTTGATCGACTGTATTAAAACAAATAGTGGTTTATGGACGAGTTAATAAGTTGACAGCTAAAAAAATTTCCGATATGCGAGAAAATAAAATAAGAAACTTTTGTTAACAATAGTTTACTTTGTCCCATAGTCGGTTTCATTAAAATTGTCAATTCAACTCGCAACATTTTTAAAAAACATGAGTTGCATACTTTTGACCAGAATTCTGGTTATTTGCAAGCTTTTCTCCTGAAGCGCGTTACTATTGGCTTTATATTATAAATTATTAGAAAACAATTGATTGGTAAGGCATCTTCTGAGAAATTCGAAAGAAAATGGGAAGATTTCGAAGGCAGAATCATAAGGAGGAACCGTTGAACTCAAAGTGAAGAAACTCAAGAAAATGTAAGTATGTAAACAATTTTCTAATGGAATTTAACTCGTTGTTAAAAAATTAGCATACCAAGATCTCGTGGAGATTTATACATCCACTAATGAGGCCACAACCTATAAGGGATGGAAGCCTGTAGACCTTAAATCGAGTTGACATATATTTTCCTATTGCTTACTATTGCTTACAATGAAGTAAATAGACAAGACACATTAAATTCATCGAACAAGCAGGTGAATCGCAGTAGCTGAGTGGATATCAATTAGATTAAAAGAATGGAGTAAAAGATTAACCAATATATTTGCGATGTTTCCTATACTTCTCAGTTCTGAGCTGAAATTCTAGGCTGATTATTCAGCTTAATATTTGAATTACTTAATTGCGAAATCAATGCGGACTTACCTGACGGCAAACATGCTTTTGGAAGACTATATGCCTCTTAAAATAGCGTTTGTATTTCTTGCCATTGGCAAAGATCATCTCAAAATCGTCTTCTGTGTCCGATTTGGTCTCAGCGTGGCAACAAGGCGCTCGATCGGCATTTTCTACGCCATTCTCGTTGCAGCAACACGGAGACGAATTCGCGAAGTCAGGTTTGTTTCGAGGGCTTGACTATGAAAGGTAAAAAATACAGGGAGTAAATTTTGTTTAAATTTTTGCCAGTCCGAGTTGTACATTTCAAACTTTAGAACTTTGTATAAATGATCAGTGAATACATGACTATATACTGTACTTTTATTGCTGAGAAAATCAAGTCAAGTTAAGATTACCCTATGATATTCTCCATGATTTCTTCGAAATTCGATTTTGATATGTTCTATCCGAGAGTCTCTTCAGGACAAAGAAATTGGGGCTGGTAACCATCAAATCAAATGCCGACTTTTCGAAAATTAGATTACTCAAAATGCTTCCCATTAACTTCCGGCCGGAACATACAATAGGACTATTGTTTTCTTTCCTTGGGAAGTGTGCAAAAACTGCCACCATCCAGATCGCCATTGGCGAAATCACTAGCGACGCTAAATGCCTAACAGAGTGGCGGATTTAGACCCAGGAGGGAGATTTGGAGGCTAAACATTGGGGCTGGTAGAGACGCAAATAATTAACTGACAACCATATTCACATCTTTTATGAGGAGGTGTGGAAGGAAGGGAGGAGCGAATTCTGTCAACGCCATGCCTACCATCAATCAATGGCTGCTCTCTTATTCAGTGTGCAATGTTTTTTTATCTTGGCAAAAAAAACTTTATTTTCTCATCGTAAAGAGCCAGATTGTTTGTGCTCCTAAGGATTGATGTTCCACTTGGCTTAGAGGTTCCTTTGCCATTGACAGACAATTTTAGAGGTTCTTTTCCGTGAGAAGATGACCTCTGCTACGCTTGTAAGAGCTTGTTGCAATGAATGTCTCCATTGAGTGCAAGCATAACGCGTAGAGGCTGAAGCACTCGTTTACATGAGGCGACAAAGCCGGAATTGTGATGCCAATGTGCTCCAACACTCGTGAATGGCAGATTTTCTCCAAAACGCATTTAACACAACTGGAGAAAAGAATCAAGTATTATTCCGCCAAATTTAACCCCAAATACCTTATACTCTATTGAAGATTTTAAACGTTTTCATGAAAGCAAAAATGTCAAGGACAGAATTACTGCATGTAATGAATTAAATTACATAAAAAGGGAATTAACTCTTTGCTTTCAATGATGAATGACTTCAAGGCGATATTAAGGACCACAAGCTCTACGTGGCAAAACGTCTTGAGTCCCTATAATGAATTAATAAAGCTTTCCTCGAACCATTGAATCATTTCTAACACTAAAAGTAAGTGAAGAAGTAGGATAAAATCTTTCGCATATTGTTCAACTCTGTCGGCCGATTATTCTTCGACATTTTGCAGATAAAGCAGAGCACACTACTACAAGAAATCATCGTCAGGATCACTATCTTCCACTTCTCAAAGGTAGTTTAGGCAAAGAAAAACCCAGTCTTCACTAACTCGATTTTCAGAGTAAGTTCTTTTCCCCAGCTGCCGCATATATACATATGCTCCTTCTTCGTAAAAGATTTCATTTCTTCAAAGCATCGGTTTAACAATTCAATTCCATTCAAGATTCACTAAAAGAATCGAAGTCATCCAATACTTTTCCCGTGATTAATTTCAAGGTCAGAAGAAATGAAATTTAAGTGAATTAATATTTTTTACTATTTAATAAAAATTGATTTTAGATTTTTTTAGTCGCACAAATTGAAATCGATATTTTTTAATCTCTTTAAATATTGTATCAACTATAATGAATAAAACAAAACGCCACTAAAATTCGAAACATATTAGAAAGTTGTCCATTAAATTTTTTTCTTTATGTCTAATAGTTTTAGTCTATTAGTAGACTGTGCTAACTGCCTAATAGCCAAACATGAGATGCCAAAATTTTATTAAAGTGCAAAATAAAATAATAATTTCCTCAATTTTTAGGTTAAGGATAATTTGTTTGGCAAGTCCAGTTCTCCAGTATTCAAATAGTCCACAGTATTATTTTTATAGGGCTCTTTCAATATCATGGAAATTCTTATTTAATCGTCATTGAAATTAACAAGTGGAGAGGATTAAGAGAAATATGATCAACCATCTAACCGAATATTGACAATGACATTCCAGACGGAAATCTAAAAACAAAATTTTAAAATTCGACCAAGATATTGACATGGTGAAAAATACCCCTCCNAAAACACCCCCCCCCCCCCCCCCCCCCCCCCACCTACCTCCTCTAACTACGAAATAATTTCTGCAAGCAAATGGAGGAATCTTTTGTTTCGGTTAAGTTTTTCCCATTTCGATTAGAGTTGTTTTACCGATTTTCAGGTTCACTTGCTTTGCAATCATTTAATTTTCCTAATTGTTTAATTTATTGAGTTTAAAATTTAAAAATCGGCCATGATATTGACCTTGACAAGGTTATTTCTCTTTCTCTCATTATCGGAATTGTGCTTATGCCATAACTTATTAATAACGCTTCAAATTGCATTAATAATTCGCACAGTTATACAATAATCACTGGATAATTAACGTTACTCGAAGTTCTCAAGGTGAGTAATCATCATCAAACATACCTTAATAGACAGAGGACTTCCTTAACCAATCATATTAAGGGCCTTTTCTATTAATTAATATTGATGAGAAAATAGAGGCGACTAATTACTTAAACAAAATTAACTATTGTCTGAGGTAGTTAGGTGTGAGAACAAAAGTCATTGGAAAATTGAATAAAATATCGAAATAATTAACATAGTCTAAACAGAACAAAGGACAAGATAGTCTTAAAAGACTTATTCATGAGAGTTCGAATAGATTTGAATTATGGTAATGTCATTGAAAGTGGCTAATTTTCTCTAATTTCTAACTTCAACAGAATGACAACTTATGGTTGCTAGGATCAGCTCACAATCCAAACTTCAAGATCAGTTCACGGGTTATTGTGCTCTTTAAAAAGATTATTTTTCCCGATAGCCAATTTAGATGCCTCAGAACTATTTATCTCTTCCAGTTTCAGCCTCTTCAAATTGATGTAAATACGTGGAGGTATCGCAATCAACCATGGAATGAAATAACATCATTTCAAGGGCATAAATTTTGACCAAAAATCCTGGTAGACTACTCGCGAAATTCGAATAGTAGGATATTACAAAGACAATGAATAACTCAGGATTAGTTCGATTCAAATGAAGTGAGACTCTCCATGTGCTTCTTGATCCCAAAAACCAGTTTCGTGCTTTCCTACTTTCGTTTGCAGTTCTCATTTTCCAGATGTTTTCTCATTATTAAAACTTAATAAATGAATGTGTACTACAATAGTAACAATGGGATTCGCTAATCCAAACACACCAAATGAATGATATCTGCGGTGTAGTCATTTAGAAATTAATTTCTCGCCATGTAAATGCGAACTCCAGGTTTTGTGTAATACGCTGCTCTATCTCGCCAACTTCAGTACCCTTTAAACGTTATTTTTAGGGTTCAAGAAAGCGCCTATGATCAAAAGTATCTGCAAATGGAGGCCTGTTATTCAATTTTAATCTTCCATAAAACCTCTAGTTTCTTTATCAGGATGTCGAAACCCGAACACCCGATTGGGACACCGATATTTAACATCTTTTCACGAACCCACAAATGTATTTCCTGTTTGCTTTCAGTTGTACGTAGTCATCATTACGGGGTCATAACCCGAACTACCGCTGCTGTTGACTGATGGTTGAAGTTCTCTCCCCCCCCCCCACCTCCTCCATTTCATGAATGAACCAGCAACATGAAAGCATCCAAATGTGTGTACTTATAAAATGATCATTAATCACAAAACATGTGAACGGAGCTGTGTTCGCATTTTGGGTATGTAAACGAGGAAGTCTAACGCAGTTCCGAAAGCCCTCTATGAAGCGATGACTAGACTACTTGGGAGAGAAATTAGGGAAAGTGCGTTGTGCGAAATGGCAATAACACTTGGCTCTAGAGTCTGCGTTTAAAATCGCAGATGCCGCTGGTTATCGAAAAGCGAAACAATAAATGACACTCTTTTGATCAAACCAATAAGTACAGTCCATAGGCTGCATGCTAAATCAATTACATATGAAAGAACCTTGGAAACTTCAATAAAACAAATGATATTATTAGGCGGATTCGAAATAAAACTATGTAATCGGATAGAGGAAATTTAGCTAGTTCTTACTCATATCTGAAAACGCACACTCCAATGTCGAAATAATGCAATTAATACCTGAGCGATACTATAGGTTATTGGGGGGGGGGGAGGGAATGCTGGAAGAGCATAAAATCAGAATTGCGAGATGTTCGTACTTTCTATTGAACACTAACTATATTAAACTATCTGTCTTTTACTTAAGGGTCATTGTTCACTACGTCTTGCCCTTACTTTCGGCAGCCAAATGTCAGGAATCGGCCCATGCATTACAAAACAGTTTATCAGCCAATCGATTTAAGGGAGTGGTTAATTATTTCAAGCCAATCAATTTTTCTTATCCAGTAGGTCAGAGTGGAGTTCTGCATTTTTAAATTTTCATGCCCTAGGTACAGCCAATTACTTAATGTTTTCGCCTAAAAGAGAGTAGGTGCATATATGCTCCTTTGGTCTTTGTACTTTAAAATTTGAGGTCACAAAATTTATCACTAAAATGCTAAATAGAGCGCTAATTAAGAAGCGGATCGTTACACGACTTCCGGATAGATGAGCTTTGTAAGTAGTTGGATCAATGAAAAAGTAGATGAAGTAATTTCGGTACATTTTTTGATCAATCAAGAATTTCGATCTTGCCACACGTTTTTACTCCATTTCAGAGTATCCGTTTGTATAGATAAAGTAACATTACTGAAATACATTTTTTGCGAACATGGAGATTGAAAATACTAGTTCTTTTTTCAACCTTAAAAATACAAAGAACAGTTTGGCAAAAAAACAACATTTTCCCTCCGAAAAGGTCAGGTTTCACTGAAATTTTTGGAAAAAAATTATCCACCATTTCCTTTCTTAATCTCACTACAAAACTAATTGTATTAAGAGCTACATACGGGAAGACGTGAGTTGATGTCTCAACTAAAACCAGGAGCCTGTTATTGGCTAAGACGATCATTTTAAACAAGATTCCAAAATCCAAATATAGTGAATTATAATACTTTTTTAGTATTTTGAATTATTCCCACACCCTTGAAAATGGATGTCTACTATAAATGACTCCAAATAGGTGAACTTATTGAAAAATCCATGGTCTGATTAAGAAGACATCAAATAAAAACGAAAAATGAATATACACAAAAGGTAACTAAGAAAGCTGGATCGTTTTGCCGAAAATCAGGCCCACATTTTACAAATCAGGTTAACTTTTGACTGCACTTGTATCAAGTAACGATTGGTGCATATTTTGCGGACAACACACACACCCACACACACTGTCTTGATTAAAAAGGCAATAGGAAATAGCATCGAAATCAGTGTGAAAATTTCAAATGAGTTGCCAATTAATCGATATCACATGATGTCACTAACAAACCTCTTTATAAACTCCATTCTGCATCCGTTGAACGGCGTTAAGCACTTCGCCTTGCATCGATGCATCACTCAGAGGATCAACGTTGGGAGGGGTGAGAGTAAGGACCAGTTGGTTTAGTAGGGTGGCCTGTACGTAAAGAAGGCATTACTTTACATATTATTCCAGAATGTGTGAATTATTTGATAAATGCATTTCCACCAGTCCTCGGCTATATGTGCCAATTAATAAATAGAAAAAAACCGAAGACTGCTTTCCTATCCTCATTGTCATTAATGAGCTAGTCATCGACTATACCAGTTTTTAATCACGTCAAATAAGATCTTTCAATACTTCATCAACCCCAATTTTGATAGAAGCAACAGCCTCTAAGCTGAAGCACACCCGCGCAAGTCGAGAGGAACAGTGGATGACCGAAACTGGAAGCTCAGTCTGTATAGATGAAAATGGATACCTGTTATCGAGATTTTTAGGCATTATGATTCGAAGTCCACAGAGAATCACCCAAAACAGCCGAGATACACAAATGTAAAAAACTGTATCAGTTACTGAAAGAAAAAACAAAACACTAGTTCTTCAATGGTTCACTGGACACTGTGGCATTATAGGCAATGAGTGCGCTGACACACTTGTTAAGAAGGGGACTACAATTTTGCGAGGCATAGACCAGCCGATGTCGCCCAATGTCTTTCGACACAATGAAGACCATAATCAAAAGAGAAATCAAGACTTTAAGGTGCAATAAACTTAAAGCCCGAACGAAGAAGAAGCAGTGGACAATGGCACTCTTCAACATAACCAACTGGAGAGAAATCGAAGCTCCATACAGTTTTGACTACATACCGGACACGATTGCTGATGAAGCACCTTCACAGAACAGGCATATGCGCTCAACCAACATGCCTCCTACGTGACCTACAGGAGGAAATGGAGAAGACCCACCTGATTCGGTGTCCAGCCCAAAAGACAGCGACAGAAACCCAATGATACTGGGAAGCCAAAAGACAACTAATGAACTACTATCAACTGTCCTAAAGCCTATACATATGTTCCTACCCCCCCCCCCTTGCGAAAGCCGAAGTCAAATAAGTGGCTACTGATAGATACCATAAGGCCTGCCATTTGAAATAATATTAGTAATAATACTCAAAACGTATTTTGATAACAGGAGTGAAGGAATGTGTAGTGGCTGTGATTATCAAAATATGAATTGGCAAAAAATAAGGCAAACAAATACTTTTAAATTTTTCTTCCCATAAATTAACCTCGGGATGCTTTTCATCTCTCGGCTGTTTCATTTATTGGAACCAGGGGTACGCGATAGAGTTACCCCCACATAGTGGACCTTGGGCAACGTATACTCATGCAGCAAAAAAAGTCCACAAACCACGACCCGCCTCTATACCATATTCGACCACTTACACAGTACTCACCTCACCTTACCTTTGTCTCTAACTTTGTATCTGTCTGTCTGTGTCTTTTACATCTGTGACTCACTCTTCTGTTCCCACTTCACCACTTGTATGACTTTGGTGTTCCTCCCTCAATGAAACTCAAATTCAATTAAAGGACTAATGATAACTGTCATAAAGCCTGCCACTTGGCATAAATAAATTTCTTGGAGCCAATCTTGGAAACTAAATTTCTGTTCCACCGCAAAGTGGATCTTAACCAATGAATCTCAGAATTATGATTTCAAGTAATTTCGCAATCTATTTGTCATTTTGTGGCCCCAATTGTCCATGTACTTTAATTGATGTTGGCGACAAGAAATTGCGCGGTAACTAGAAAAAAAATCAATGCGAGCCCATTGTTTACGTCTATCTGTTATCTGGAAAAAGGTGTTATGTTGTTCTCTAAAGCAAATTACACGTCTATTTGCCAACGCTATGGTCAATGTTTTCGTGCATAAATGTCAAAAAACAGTAAACAGTGGAGAGATGATATATTTTGCGATAGATTTACCTCCACCACGTGGTACACCCTGGGCAACGTATACTCATACGGCACAAAAAGTCCATTGATCGGTAACTGCTTCTGACTTCAAACTACCATCACCCCCCCCCCTCACTGTATGTCATATTCAACCCCTTCCACAGTACTCATCTTACCTTTCAACGACCTTTGTGTCTGTCTGTCTGTCTCTTTCACAACTGTAAATCATTATTCTGCCCCCCTCTCGACTTTTCGTCACATTGATGTTCCTCCTCCTCTCTGTGAAAACCAAAGTCAACTAAAGAGCTAATGGTGACCATCAAAACGCCTGCTAATTGAGATAAATATTTCCCTAGTTAATATGAAATTTGAGGACCATAGCTTACAAGTCTTATCAACCATTATTCGAACAATTAATCACAATTATTCGTTATTTTGTTGATTTACAAGTTTGCTTGTGGAGTTAACTTTTAATTTATAAAGTACCCTTTCAGTACCCAGAATTATCGAAATAAATAAATTAATTAACTAACCGAGTCAAGAGGCTTCCAGGTTTCACTGGCCGAGCAACCATTGCTCGCATCGTTCTCCATCTCGTATGCATCAGTATGATCGACGCTGCGAGACTTGCCAAGAGGACCCCGGTAATGTCCACTTCCCGAAGATGTGGATTGGATCTGCTTCGGTGACTCTTTTGGTGGTGGAGGTGGCGGTGGCGCTGATTTCGAATTCAGAGAGCACACATATGAAGTAGGCCGCAGGATTCGAACTTGGCTCTTTATTTCACTCTCAGCTTGAAGTTCCTCGTTCTCCTTCTCACTTGCATCTGAGTCGTCAGCATGTGGAAGGTTTAGGGTTTCCAAATTAAGACTAAAATGAGCGAATTGCAAAGTCAAAGCTAGAAATCTGAATGGAAAATAAATTTAAGTTAGAGGATTTAGCTTAGTACTCGAGAGTATTTCGTAAGGGGAAATTAAATATTTTTTTATATCACCAAGATTCAGTCAGTCCTTTTGGAAAATGTGATCAATGCTGTTGATAATTTTGCAATGTTTAATAGCTTCTTGTAAGCATTGGCAGGTTTAATATTATTTGCAAAAGCATATTAGTGTAAGTAGAAATCGAATCCAGACCTTTGGGAGATTGTAGATGCCCAAGTTGGGACAATGCAGAAACAGCCTAAGCCGCGTATAAAGTCAAAGCTGTAGAGATCAAAAAGAGGCATATTATAGAGAAGTTGAATTCACTGTCCAATTGGTTAGTCAGTCAACTATGATAGTGATACCTGGATACATCTCGATAAGGCCAGGCCAACAACATAGTACAGCACGCAACTTTAGCAAGAAACCAAGTGTGCACTCCAGTAGAGCTTATCTCTTTCTCTCAAAATTCGCTCTGCGCACGAATTCTAGGAGCCAATGAGAACAACATTCCGCATAAAATGGTATGTGGCAAACACAAGCACCATACAACTAGCATGTGTGAGGACGCCTTCAAGCATGAGAAAATGACAAAAGAAAAGAGCACAATGCCAAAATTTACCATCCATTCGATGATCTGGGTACATTTCTCGAGGGTAGTTGAGGTGGTGGTGGTGGTGGAGGAGGTGGAGATTGAAAGCCTTTCGTCGGTGGTGAAACAGATCCCGGACTATCGATAGTTGAGTAAATAGACTCTTCCATTTGACAATTTGCGGGAATTATTTGAATAGCTTCAGCAAGAGAGCGAAGGTAAGCGTTCAATTTGGCATCTGCCCGAACGTTAGTGTACCCAGGTTCAGTGCAATCACTGAATGGACTGGGGGGTAAATCTGCCAAAGATTCGCCAGCACTCCATCTTGGAGATTCCAGGGAAAGGGGAGGCTTAGGAGGGGGCGGTGGGCTATCACCAGAGGGTTCCATTTGGGACCAGAGCTGAGCCAAGAGGCGTCTATCTTCATCTGTTAGACCTCCAGGTCTCATAGAATTGGTGGAATTCTTAGTGGATCCATTGGTGGTTGAGCTTGACATGGTTGAAGATGCAGATTTTCCAATGCCTGAACTTGACCGTCCATTTGAAGAAGGGGATGCACGTGGAAAGTGGAAGGCTAGAAATCCTGATTGCTTTGCTTTCGTCCTGAGTTAGGAAATATTACTGAGAGGACGCTTATTAGGAAATAAGTAGCAAGTAAGCACGTAACTCTCCCATTGTAAAACGCACTAATTAGAACAGTGGGAAATAAGCGTCCGATGGAATGAAAGTTAGCGCCTTCTGATTTAATTATTTATTTAATTTCCCAGAAGAGTATATATGTCGGGGCATTTCTCACGGCCTGAACCTACAAATTAACCCATGATAATCGAGGCCTATGCCAAAGATTGCAAATATTAAAATTTGAGAATTGAATGCGCATAAAAGATAAAGTTAACTAGTCATGTTTCATGAAATTATATGAATTTCAACAAAAAATAGACCACATTTTAATGCAGTGATAGGATCGATACGGTCGGGGAAGATGAGAGTATGCTTAAATAGAGAACACCCAAAGACAACTGTTGTTGGACTTATAAGAAATGCCATAGTTCAGTTCCCAC